AAACAGCCTTTTAAAACCTTCGACTTTACGGCAGGAAGGCCCAAAATAAAATAATAAACCTGTGTTGGGAAAAAAAGTTGCATCGAAACTTCTCTCAAATGTCGTTTCATCTCCATAGACTACTCCCAGCTGAGCGGCATTCAGTTTATAGAATGTGCCAATTAATATCCCTGCTATTTGACTCGACACCCGCACCATTGAATTCGGCCCTATTGTGTACAACGTCGAATGCGACATTCACTTTCCTTTATCTCACTTCGCACTTCTTCCCTAGCCTAATCTTAGTCAATGATCCAAAATATTACCTTATTCCGAAGCGGGTACAAAGCTTTTGTCTCGGCATAGAATCAAAGGGGTGGTCTTATCTATGACCATTAAACACAGCAAATGCTGGTGTGCCGCGCTCCTTATAAGGTGGAAAGTGGCAGATAGATACGAGAATGGAGGGTTATTTCGGATTTTTAGTGTATACTCCCCACAATTAGCGTTTTTTAGGGGCAGGTGTGGGGGGTAATAAGAGGAGACAGAGAATGGCACCAGAGAATGAGACAAGGAAAGCAAAGAGGGAGATGAACCAGCAGGGTAATAGAATGCAGGAAAATCCTAATGGAGAGTGAATGAGAAGGAGGAAGAGGGCGCCAAAGGGGTGACGCACCTCCACCGACACCGCATTCATCACCTGGCCCATGAAAATGGCCTCTTTCACCCTGCAAAGAGGGGGTTGTCCTTCACAGTCACATCTCACATCCACCTTGCTCGACACCCAGAAGAAAAGGCTCCTCTGGCCCCAGACTAGAAGGTTAAGCGCCATGCGTCCAAAGAAAAGGGTCACTTTGAAATGTCCTCATGTAGAGCCGATCTGTTGGGGGGCGATTTGGACATGAAAATCCCAAATGTGTGCAAGCAAACGTCTGTCTATGGATCCCACGGGGAAGCAGTTCATCATCCAGGAGGCAGAAGGCATGTAATCAATTCCCAAACCACCCCCAGCATATCTCTCTCAGCTAGTCGGCCTTGTAACTGGCATTAAAAGGTCAACGCTGAGTTAACACAAAGTTGGGTGTATCACAAACAAAGGTCTGAAAATGTCACGACTTCACAGATAAGTGCTCATATCTGCAGAAGAAAAAACAACAACTGACAAGGATCAGAAACCACCCTTTTTTCCTTGTGACATTCACAGTCTGGATTGTGTCCCCTCAGAGAAGCTGGCAGTTACATGCCTGTCTTTTTCTCGCCTTGTTCCTTGTAGTAAAATGGGTCCAACCTACATTTGAGACTTCAGGGATATCATCTCTAATCAAAGAGGACACATGGAAGGAGCTGAAGGACGAAACAAAGCCAAAAAAAGGAACTAGAGGAGAGCTCGGGGCGAAATTTGATTAATTCGATTGAGGTTTCTTTTCTTATTCTTAGTCAAATAAAAAAAGGTTTTTAAAGCGTGTAAAAAGTGGGTATCTTTTGAATAAAAAATCGTTAAAAAAAGCAGTTGTCTTTTGGATTTGATTTTGGGTGCGAGTGATGAGAGTGAGTGAGTGATGCTCTAAACTATTTCGAACAGCAGAGATAGATAGAGAGAGAAAGCCTGCGCGACGCTTGGGAAATGATGCTTTAGAAGTAAGCTGTCAGGAATAGCTGATCTCCTAATTCTAGCGCATGAGGCAATCCAGGCCATTGGCTCCTCTTGTAATCAAAGTCATCTCTCGGTTCATATAGGACGTTTGACAAAAGCAGCGACTAATAATGGATGGCAAACTACTGGAAGCGGCTCCAGGCAACTCGACTCTGCTGAGAAACAGGCCACCCAGATTGTACATTTAATCGTTTATGTGAATTGCCTTTCATTACCTCAACAACAATGGGTTTTTGACAGAAGTGAAATGACTTTGCCAGACAAGAATTGACGCAGACACAGTGTGTATTTAATGGGACTAATAATTAAAGTATTGACGTTAAAATAATCAGGACCATGATCCCGCTGAGGGTAATGGAGACGTGCCGCGCATCCCTTAAACGGAAACTGTATAATTTAAAAAGATCTCGCCCGATTCAGAGACTCGACAATGGTGCATTGTGCCAGCTGTAACAACGGTGTGGCTCTGATCAGTGTGTGTTTTTGGTTTGCCAGCAGATCATGAGGACAGCAAATACACACTATACACACTAAGAAATGGAACAAAGGAAAATCTGAATACCACATTTTTCCAGATTTACATAATGCCAGCATCCCTATCTTGCGGGACTTTATGTTTATTCATATGACTGTTGTATAAACATGTTCATATGAGACAGTCTACGGAGCCAAAGGGAAAAAATATACCCGTCAAATTACTGATGCCAATTACTGAGGCTGTTTATTATGGCATGAGGCAAAGCAGATCGCTGAGTCCATCTTCCAGTCAACAAATCTCCGCACACACAAATTTGCATGAGAATCTAGACATTGAAAGGCCGTCTGCATTCTCGAGGTCTTTGAACCTTGCAGATTGGCTTTGGAACAATCCCCCAGTTGTCTGGGATGTAAGGGAGAAAATAAAAGCAGGCAGCCGCTTAAGGTGAGAGGCTTCATTTACTCTTCAAGCAAGGCGGCAGGGAGCTGACAAATAAAGAAGAGGCGTTATTTCTCTAGACAAGAGTGCACCCTTCACTCTCCATTTTGAATTCAGACAACCGCCAGGCAACACTTAACAATGACAAGGTGACTGCTCGCTATCCGTAAAATGAAGCGGCCAAACTCATCCATGCGCAAAGATTCTTTTAAGTCTTGTCACGACAGTCGTGAACTCACAAACAGCGTTTCAATGCCTTTCAGGGCACTTCCAGGAGCACCAGCTCTCTATCATTATATTATGGAAAGCACATAATGGAAGGCTTCACTATTCCTCTCCTTGTTATTCTCCCGGGATGCACAACCTTTTACAGAGACCTTGTCTGCCCCCTCCGCTGGGTCCCTTCCCTTCGGCGTCTTGTGAAAGAACCAGTGTTCCCTTTGGTTCTGGATGCTGGTCTCGGCCTAATCTGAACAAACACTGTTTGTAGAACCAACACCTTTGTTCTCCTCAGCCTGATTATGCATGCTGCTGCTGCTGCAAAGAAGTAGGTACCAGCAAGCTCTGCCTCCACACAGCAGGCGGTGCGTGTACTCACTGTGCCTTGTCCAGAGACGCACAAACAAAGCGTCTTCTTTTGTTGAAAATAGTGAAAGGAACAAATCTCTCAGATGTGCAGCGTCCGAGTGGAGCCTTAAATCAAATTTATGTCACACGGTGGCTAATGGCGAATGAAGCAGAATGTAGTCCTTGAAGTAATGTGAATGACTCGGTGTTGAGTCCCTCGAAAAGCAACATTAATACAACTTCGAAGCAGCACACAAAGAATTTGATACTGTGTGACCTTGGTCTCTTCCTCTGTGTTCCTGCATCCGATCATTCATCCACACTGCATCCCGAGCCGGGGGGGGGGGGCCCTTGAAAAATGCTTGTACTCTGAAAAATACAGGCGCACAGGTGGGGGACGTAAATATGCTGGGATGCACTCTGAGACACGGGAGGAGAGACAGGAGCTCTAGCTGCTGAAAACTAAACTCGGGATTAGCGAGGCTGCACAAACGAGATGTTAAAGGACGACGACAACTGCACGCATTTGGCAGGACGCAGCATGAAAACAGACTCACTTGAATGGATACTCATTATACAGATTGTGGACTATTAAATTCAGAAATGTCCCTGTGTGAAGTCAGGCAGTTGTGCGGGGGAATGACCTCAGAGGACACGCATGAGGACGCGCATATCTGTAGGAGGAAACTGATTGAAGTGGACCCTCGAGTTTGTTACAGCTGCCTGACAAGGAGGAGGCAAAACAAAGATGTACAACACACAAGGCTGACTGCACACACACACACACACACACACACACAGCATTACAGCACAATGTGCCCTTTCCTCCAGCCGCTTTCTCAGCACTATTGGAGTCGGTGTTGCGTTTCGGAGGTGATGGCGAGCTCGGCGGCTGCTGGGAGCGGCTTGTCCCTGCAGATGCTGACAGGACGCTTCGGGATGCTTCCTCGGTCCTCCGCGGCTGAAAGAAGAGTCCTGCTGGCACCAGACCAGTCCCGCCACAGCACAATGGAGACAAGTTTAAGGGTCCCACTGGTGAAAAGCATCCGTTGGATTCCTATTATTACTGTTAAATACATATCCTCCCCAGGCAGCTACACTTACTAACACTATATTGTGCCTGACAGTTAACTCTCCTCAGGTTCATTTATAACTGCACGGCATCAATGGAGAAGGATTCTACCACTCATCATCCAATTTCATCACAACTACATTCGTCCGTACCAATTTAGTTCGGAAACACTTAATAGTAGTGCACCTACCTTTCCATCACCGGCTCCTCTCCCGTTCAGCCGTAAAAACGGGATGCGGTTTGCACAAATAGCAACCTAGCAGACGTCTGTCCCTCTCTACCTCGGAATGGCGCGGTCAATTTATTCCGAAATAGTAGAGGGAATCCGTTTAACCGCGGACTGCACGGAGGAGGAGCTGCACCGCTCGGATATTTCAATCTTGTGAGGAGGCGCCGGTCTGACAGCGCCGGATAAAGTGAAGGTTTAGCCGCGGACAAAGTGGGGAGCGATCCCTCACACTTTGGCTTCCTCCGTCAGTTTATGTTCGCTCTGCCCCGGTGATTTAATACATCCCGTCTGGTGGCATCAACCCCCCCGCCCTCCATAAACGGACACACACACTTACGCACATTCTCCCTCAGACACATGCACACACATAACAAAGAAAGAGTTGTGACCTGTAAAAAAAAGCTTTTAAAAGAAGCTTATGAAATGAATGTTGCAAAAATATTGAATGTATGTATTGCAGCCTGCATATGCGCCCAAGCAAAGTTAAACAAAATAAATACAACAGGGTGAAAACGATCGCTTGGCAAATAGGAGATATTTACTCAGGTTAACGTGATAATTGCATACATTATAAGGGGCTATGTTAACAGTAAATTGGCATATTTTGGCAAAAATTGCAGCTTTTTTCATAACATTACCTAGAGTGAAGCAGGGAGGATGTTCCAGGGGATAATGCGCGTAAAACGCACCGGTCCGGTGTATTCATTTGTCCGCATCCCAGTGTGCGTAATCCTGGATGAGCAATCACCAGGTTCTCCTACTTGCTGCTGCTGCTGCTGCTGCTGCTGCTTATAAATATATAATTTCCCATTGGAGCTCATTCACTTCCCATCAGGATTCCCTTTCAGACACGATGAAATCATTTTACTGGAGCTCGAGTTTTGTTGACCAAATCGAGTGTTCTTGGACTGGATGAGGTCTGTTAGTGCGCAGGATACAGCAATAATGATGTCAATGTAGCCCACCGTCGTGTAACATTGGTAATTCTTTCTGTCCAATAAGACCTAAGGAATGGTGACGTCAAAGGAGATCTGTTCAATAGAGTTAGTTGCAGTAAATTACATATCAGAAATGCAGTCCTGAGCTATAGTGTGTTATTTAACTTTGCCTGTTGAATGACATCACTATCTTATAGAATGACAGACTTAAAAAAAAAACAGTGAAATAATGATCTAATAATGATTTGCATGTTGAATAAAAAGAAAATAGACAAGGCATAAGAGGCAGTCTCCCTCAAAATGACCCTATTAGTCCTCTATGGCATACTGCCCTCAGGCAACACAATACTTATTTGGACCTTACACTGACCCCTTTTAACTTAATATCAATGTATATAATGTCAGCAGACATGTCTGTGTCTGATAAAATGAGGGCCCAACGTGGGTTTGACCTTTTCTCTTGGGGTGACGCATTCTTTTATGGCTGCCAAGCTGCATGGGACAGAGTGGCACAAATCAGTAAGACAAATCTAACTTTTTAATCAGTTTGAATTGAAATAACTTCATTAAAACTTCATGTTTACATGTGCATGAGTGTGTAAAGAAGCATAATTTAAATACCTAATTTGTTGCAACGCTGCAGTTAGGTCATTGACCATAGTCAATGTTTTTTCTGTACCAACTACTGATATTGAATGGGAATGGACACAGGAACATTTCATGGGCGAAGGGTTCAGGATCAAGCAGTTAGGGCCGATCCCTCTGACACTGAGGACGGTGACAACGTGTGTGTCATTCACACATAATCGTTCTGTTTTAATGTGACATTCAAATGTGTGCTTTCTTATTTACTACAGGAGAATGCATGTCTGATAACAGTAAGTCTGTGGATCAAGATGAGGATGAAGATATAGGTTGAAAAGCATAAAAAAGAAAAGTCCCTGTGAAGAATTTGTGAAACAATGTCATTCAATATTTGAATAATGGAAAAAAGCTCCTTTCAGAGAGCACATTAAGTCACCTCTACAGGCTGACGTTCTTATTAGTAAACTAACAATTCAATTAAGTTTGTGTCAGATTTGGCATCCATTCGCTCCGCAGTGCGCCTCTGACTTACTCAGCCTCCCACAATGCATTGCGGGGAAAGCAACGTCACAATCTTGCGACCCAACGTGGGGCGACCAACCGGAGGAACGGGGGTAGCATTATCCTTATTACAATATTTAGCCCGGTTAAACATCCCCCTACGGGCATTTTAAACTCCGTGTACACCATTTAAAGTGTTTTAGACGACTTTTTAACAGTGGAGTTCCACTCTTTTCACCAGCCTTAGCAACGCGTCAACCACTCGCCATGAAGATCAAGACTGAAGAGACGTCGGACAGGTTCCTGCTGGACGCGTCCTGGCTGTATAGAGACACGTGTCCGGAGCTATCGCGGTTCCTCCTGTAAGAAACTCTGTTTTAAAGTCACCTGTTTCTCTTTCTTCCTCTTCTTCCTCCCTATTGTTGTAATAGTCGCATGTCGGCGCTAGGTGGAGGAGCTCGACCGCTGTTAGCTGCTGACTTCCGGCCGGTGTCCCCAAAACTGCTAATGCGCTCACAGCTGTCTTTGTTTTCTCACTTTAGTTTGTTCCAGTGTGACGAAGTGATAGTTATTCCTAGAAATATAAGAAATAACATTCTCCAGTGACGTACGGTAGAGGAGACAACCACAAACATCGTGGCATCCGTAACCGATGATGTCATCGTGCAGTGTATTCAAATAACGTGTCCATCAAAGGACAGCACTTTGGTGGTGAGAAATGGTTCTCTTAACATTTAACCACTGCTCAAGGAGTTGGATATGTAACGTTACAGCTGTTGGCGTTGCTCATTTTGCCACTCAAGGCTCGATTATGTGTCATATTTCCACTCCTTTTAGTTAATTTCCTAACACGAAGACGTGTTAGTGACTGACGCACATACACTAGTGGCTATTCCTCTCACAGGAACTACATGTGTCCAGTGGCTGCACACGTGCAAGTGCATCATATGTGAGCAATTGTAACTGATTAATTCGAATAAACTTTGCTTTCATTCAATCTCACGCATTTGCAGTGTGAGGTAGATCTCTATGGTGAGGTCTAAGGCAAAGTGCCCTTTTAGAATAAAAGCACAGAGGCCCTTCACGCCAGTTTCTAATTTACGTCCTTTTTTGCATTACATTACTTCTGTTGCGTTTGCTTCTTCCCTTATTTAATTGATCGTGAAATCCTCTTAAGCATCTGTCCCTTTATGTGTGCAAGAGCCCTATCACAGCTTAAATCATTAGCAATGCAAGTGTGCGCGTGCGTGCGCGTGTGTGTGTGGACTCGAATGTTTTCGTTGGGTTCTGGCTATGTTCCCGTATCCTCCGTCTTGGCTTTGCCTTTCACCTGGCCCGGAAATCTGTGTGCAGAAGCATGAATGGCAACCAAAACAGAGGCTCGAACAGTGAAACCCCAAGTCCGGGTTATTTTTACAGATGTGTCTGAGCACACTGCTGCTTCAATACATCGATCTGTTCCCCAGATTCGCTTTCGCTATGATTAGCCGTGGTTATAGAGAACATTTTCATCACTTTTAACTATAACCAGACGTCCTTCAGGCAAAACTTGAGGTTGAATGTTTGGGCCGCTGTCGGAGATGGCGGCTTGGTTTCACGCCAAAGTGCCTGGCAGGAGAAACCTCATTAGCAGCTATAGGCCAAACCCCCCCTCAGTGTGATGAGCTAATTGAATACTGGATCTGAACTCGAGCCAGGGTTGTAATATGGATGATATGTCAGAAAGTATATGACTCCATTTGTTTAAAAAAAGCGTAATAAAGTTTTCAGATAGAGTCTTGGCCACAGTTAACTGAGAGGAAATGAAAATAGCTGACATACGTGGTCAGTATGCATTATGGATGTATTTCTTTTTAGATAATAAACCACTTTTTGTGGGGGATTCCTGTGTCTCCTCTTTCTCCAGTTGTGGTTTTGTTCATGCGTCACTGGAGTTTTTGCATCGTGGGCGCCTGTCTGTACTCGTACACACTACTAAACATTTGTTGGAGATCGTGTAACGGCCTTCTGCCGCTTTCTTCACCTTCTGTCGGGCTGATGATGACTTCTTCTGTGTGTGTGTGTTGTTGCCCGGGGTTACAATCAGGTTTTACAATTGCGGGTCTGTTGTGTTTAGTGAGCGCGTCGGCCTGTTTAAAGCATGAATTTTTGCCCTTGTATGTCAACTGACGTCACTTCATTTTGGCTCCTGTTGCCAGGCTGGTGAAGCTGCTTTCCAGTAAGTTAATAATGATAGTTGCGTTTGGTAAGTGGAGCCTGACTGCGCTCTGATGGCAAAGCATGCAGGACGTCACCGTGACCGCTTAGAAATCCACTGATGGCTTGATATCTTTTAATTGTGGGACTTTGTGAAAACAACACTAAAGATGACCATAACCAAATAAAAGGCCAGCATTTAGTATTTCCGATGAGGTTACACACTGTTTAAAACAAAGGGCAGTTTAAAACAACGTCAAGGCGATACATAACAATCAGTCTGGACTCTTGTAGACCAGCAGCTACAACCACAAAACTTCATCAGTGGTCTTTGAAAGCTCTATTTTCTCCCCTCTTTGCCTCCCGTGCTGATCCATTCGTGCCGGGTCTGAATATCGACGTGACCCAAGCCCTGATGCTAACAATAAAATGTTCATCATGCTCTCTTCTTTCTTTAATTACATTCTCACCTCGGAGCCCACGCAGCCCCCCCATTTCCCCGGCAACCTTTGCATCTGTCACGGCCCTCCTGATGGCATCCGGCCAGTTGTCAGCAGTTCATGTGGTTGGCCCGTAGCTTCAGTGCTTATAACCACCGCTAAGTGTGCTCTTGAAAGAAGAAGCATGACAAGTATGATAATTGGATTAGTGCGGCAGCAGAGGTCTTCGCGGTGTGCCGTTTCTGCGGGTCGCCTCATCAGCAGAGTAGTGGGACATTACAGGGGAAACAAGATTCCCAGGAATCCAGCAGCTCTACACGCGGCTCTGTTCATAGTCGGCTCAGAGAATTTGCTCTTTCGGTGCTGCAAAACAATGAAGAACGCATCGTTTTCTGTGGTGTCAAGTGCAGCCAAAAGGGTCTTTGATTATCAGTGATGTTACTAAGTAACAGTAGCATATTGCAAATAGGACTTTCATATCAGCTGAGACAGAAGTGTTTTGGGGGAGTTGCTCAAGGCCTGTAAGTCACTGCTCGTCCTCTACAGAGACACAATCCACCACTTTATATAATCTGCCACTGACTATTCAAGTGTTGGGGAGTGTGCAGGGGGGGGGGGGTGCAAGACTTTGGGATGACTAATGGCAGATATGTTCGCTGGCTAACGTCATCTAGCAGTGTAATGCACATGGAGTGTCAACAAACTGCCCGCGTGTCAATTGTCAGTTTTAGATTAAAGCTCACCCCTCCTCTCCATAAACTGGCCCCGTTGCCACCTCTCTGGCGCGAACATTTCCCATCATTGACTTAAGCCCAGAGCTAATTTTACTGGCACTTAGCAGTGGCTTAGTGAGAGTGTTTGCACAAGTATCTCACTGTGAGCGTTTCAAATTGACATGCTGTGGAAATGTGACCTATATTGTTTGGGAGAGACCTATTCGTTTTTGCATTTGGACGTTTTCCAAAACGCATAATGGAAAAGTCTGTGGCTGAACCCTTTATTTCCCTGTTGTAATATCTCTATTATTAAATATATCTAACTGTTTTTAACTTCCACAGTTTTAACAATGGACCTTTAAATATAATGTTAATTTAACTACATGGCTTTTCTACAGCATTCTTGGGAACTAACAATGTAATATGTTCAAGAAGGACTAATTATTTAAGTATTACTTCATAATTGTCTTGTATTTGTGTTTTCTTTTCACTGAATCGTGTGACTCTTAAAATATCATGACATGGCTCCTCTTTTTCTTCCCTATAGGCAGGGCACTATGAAGGCTAATGGTAAGTAAAGACACCCGCACAGCCTTGATGAAACTCACCTAATTGATAAACTTCACTAAACTACGCTGAGTCCCCCGGCCGTCTGTGACGGACTGCGCGGTGGGAAAGAACACACAAAACCCACAACCCGTCCAAATCCCCCAAAACCTTCGCCATTTAGCGCTGAGACTTTTATCTCTCCCCTCTGCAGCACAAGCGAATCAGAACCCCCCCTGCCTGCCGCAGAGCACCTCGGTGTGTCCGTACTGCTATCAGTGGCTGCAGCCCGACAATCACCGGATGCGGCTGCGGCCCAAGCAGCGCCCGTCGGCGCGGGTGCAGAGTGTCCTGCGCAGGAAGGCTCGGGGAAAACGACTCGGCCTGGTGCAGCAAAACCTGCTGCAACGCTTCCAGACGTCCTCCTCCGTGCTGGTGAGAAGACGAAACGCCGCGACCCCTCGAAGCTGTTTGTGCATCACTAACCCCGAAACATTTTAGTCTCTGCTTTGTTTTATCAGCAACATATTTTGTTGGGTATTAATATTTTTCCTCTGTACCGGTTGTGTTTAACTGGTCATAACGAGTAATGCCAGCTAGCCTCGTCTCTGTCACATGTTTCTGCTGGTCACCTTTTTTTGTAGCCAGGTTTGAAAACACTCTCCCTGTTTCCTCCCACTGACCCCCAAACTGTTAGTGGTCCTTTTTGACAGTCATCCCAATGGCAGCTTGTTTTTTACCTTCCCTCTCCAATGAAACCGGCGTTGGAGCTGGTGGCATTCGGGTCAGTTGCCCCCCTGAACCCGCCTCCATCAGAGAAAGAGCCCCTCAGGTGATCTGAAATCAGCCCTAACGAAGAGCAGCTGAAGTGGAAACGCTGCCACCTCATTGAAATCTGATCGGGTTGACTGCAGTTGTTCATCGCGAGGCACTTGGGACCCGCGCTAGATATCAGATGACTCTGAGGGCAAAGAGGAGGACAGAGAATAAAATAGAAAGAAGCGGAGGCGATTAGTACCAGAGAGTGAAACAGCATCAGGCAATCAGGGCGAGTGGAGTAAGAGCGGCTCGGTGCTCCTTTCCCTTCTCCTCCCGTGGACTGTGCTGAAGGTCACATCCAGGGTCCGATAGCGGAGTCTTCTGGAGAAAGGGATTGTAGAGAATCTTTTGGGTAATAAGGAAATAATTTAACCACCCAAGTCTGCATCCCTGAAAATAAGCGGAGCAATATTCTACCGCCTCTGAAACTGCATCACAGCTGCACCAACCGGCTCTTGTGAGCTGTGGTTTGATTTTGACATCTGCTCACCTCAGAAATGTTGTCACCCCCGACTTGATAATAGTAATCATAAATAGCTGTGCAGATTCATTTCACATACTTTCCGAAGGCACACCTCTCCGTTCATCACTAGAACTTAGGAAAGACTCGATGCACAAACCCGCTCAACATCAACGCGAACCTGTGCCACCCTCGGCAATGCAGCTTTTCCTCAAGATGCTGCTGTCGTTGCTTCTCTCCCGAGACCTGGGCGAGATCGTCTTGAATTAGTGCTCCATAACGGCATTGTCTCATTCGCGCGTGTGTTCCAAGGCAGAGAGTTACGGCTGTGCACAGAATGTTCTGCTCTCCTCGACTGTTAGTCACGGGACACTCGCTGCGAGAACTGTAGGATTCATCCAGAGAAACGATTCAAACATGCCGTGCTACGAATGTATTGTTGGGAGCGAGGCAGACGCTCGTCCATACCACGGCGCGAGTATTAGCAGACGCAGTCCTCCATCTTGGGATGGGAGGTGCTCTGGGACACTGTAACACTGCAAAGTTACATCACAAATGTTTTTCTAGCTTTTCTTAGTGAAATATTCAGTCCTTTAGGAATCAGGATCAGGAATCAGGAAATATTTATTACCAAAATATGCCAAACATACAAGGAATTTGTCTTGGCGGTAAAAGAGATGTCAGAAGTGACTATATGATAACATATAGTTAATATATATGCTGATTAATTGTGATGAGCCACGGTCTCAATCACAAGACTACATCTGGTCAATTTCAGATTAGATTAAAAAGGAAACAATCAATAGTTACAGTATTTCCACTTCAGGCAGAGAGTACACATCGCCAAGGTGGCACTCTGTGATAACCAGGACATTCTGATGTACCATTTTAGAAATTAAAGCCCAAAATTGCGGGAAATCTAGTTAGGTGCATTTGCATACCATGATTTACTTTTTTTGTCCAAGAGCACAGGTGTGCCAAATTTGAAGGGGAGGGGAAACTGACCTAGTGGGGTAATTTTCACATTTCTAGGGGGCGCTATACAGACACTTACCCAAATGCAAAACCCCAAAATTATCAAATTTGATGATACGCATGCCAAATTGAACAACCTTTTGAATATGATAAAGCCCCCAAAGAGGCCCGTAGGTTGTGAGAATAATAACAATACTAATTCCCTGAAATACAATAGGTTCCTCTCACCCTAAATATAGGCATACTCGTTACCAGCAGATATTGACTCTCGCACCCTCGGCGGTGTGCAGTATTTGACACGCATCCTGTGTCATGTGGATGGCAGCGCGTCACCTGCTTTCCTCAGCTGTGTGGCCATGTATTCCAGTTGTTATAAATCAAGTTGCATTATATAGATAGGGAAATAAGTCGGGGTTGTAGTCCCACCAAAGGAGAAAAGACCGTAAATGGAGTGAAACAACAGCGAGTTCTCCTCCTCCTCCATCGTCTTTCCTCCATGAGCCAAGATGAGTACACTTGCCAGCCACATTGTTCGCTACTAGGCACAAAGTATTTCACTTTTCGAAAAATGCCTCTGCCTCTTTCCCCGTGTTGTGTCAGAATGAAGAGGGAGAAAGAGTCATTCCTCGGAGCAGCAACCAGCGGGAAACACTTAAGGACACGTTTCACAAAGAACCCACAACAACTCCAACATGTTCTGCTCTCTTCCTCTCGGCTGTGTTAAATCTTGGCAGGTCAAATTGTTCTTGTCCCTGCCTTTCAGGGAAGTGCTCACTTCATCTAAATCTGAACCTGGTGGTTTCAACCGAACAGCCGCGCTGTGTCGTGTTCTCAGTTGGGGTCAGATTGACAGAGCCAATGCTCCTCCGACACTCTTTTGTGCAAGATTCTTGCACAGCAGAAGAGGACGGGTCCACAGGTTTACTGAATGTTGTTATACAACACCTATTTTTACCCTGACGAGATACAAAAAACAGAACTTAAGTGGTATAAATGATCTTTCCTTTTCTCCAGAAGGAAAGATCAAAGGGGGGGCACCCTCTCGCGAGGATTAAGGTCCCCACTTTAGCGGGGGATCACCCCCTCCTTTTTTTTTTCTGGGGTTTTACCTCAACGGACGTCCCCTCCGGTAAAGTTCATACATTTTCTCTCCTCCCATTTTGGGCCATGTCCCCCCCCCCCCCCCCCCCCATCAGGTTTGTCTGTACTGGAGAAGTGCGGCTGGAGAATGTGCCTCTTAAGGAGATGACAGGAGTCAGGGGGCCGAGGTGTCTCGGGTCTGTTCGCTCTCAGCGAGCAGGAAAAGCTCCGCCGCGGGTTTTGACACCTCGAGGTTGGGCAGCGAGTGACAGGACGACAGGAGGAGGGGTGGTGCTGGGGGTTTGGGATGAGAAAGGCCAGGAGAGAATCTGTGACAGCTACCGTGGAAGCGGCCTTAGGTTTTTTTGTTCTCGTTACAAAACAAAGCAGACAAGAAACACTCACTCGTGTCTCACGTGCGTCTTGACTTGTTCCGCATCCAAGTGTTTTGAGCTGGTCGATGTACAACAGGAGCAGCAGTCCCAGCGAGTCGGTGCCAGCTGAGTTTGTGACTGATGACCTGGGGAAGCCTATAAAAACATGCATCGTGTTCAACACACACTTTGCATGCACTTTTGAACGCGGCGCTCTGAACAGTTTGCTGTGAGCTGTCGACGTGTTTGTGTCACTCGATGCTGCTCTGAAACAACGTGTCGGCTGTCAATTAGCTCCGTTTCCTCTCCGCCACTCAAATCCCGTCCTGGAACTCAGCAATCAATCAATCGTAAGTTGGCACGACTGTCGCGGTTCACCAGCGTGCACGTTAACGGCATCCTTCGCATACCTTTCACGCAGTCACACACGCGCCATCGGTTAGCTGTCAGTTTTATGGCCACAAAGCGGGGCCCCAAATCCAGAACGGTTCCTAGTTATATTTTTATTCTTAAACCACAGAATTCTGCCTCAAAGAAGCACATGTTCCAACTGTGTAATACTAGTAGTTTTTCTCTCACACTTTATGTTTGAGGTCCAACTTACCATGTTAGAAAAACCTTTATCCCTTATGTTTGGTTAATATAGTTACATGTCAAAGAATCTTTGTTTCCTCTGATTATAATGTAGACTAAATGGTGTGAAAGAAAGTGTCACACATGCCAAATGCAAATCACGGGCGCATTTCTAGATCCAAACCGTGACTGCGCGCCCTGCAGAAAGCTTCCACAGATTATGAAATTAGCATTTGTTTTCAGTGTTTATCTTTATCTGAAAGAACCAAATGAAGCATTCGTCCAGTGTGATGTTGCTGATTCGTCGCCTTCCAGATGTTCATTGGACATCATTAGGTATTATCTAGTTAGCAGAATAAATCCTCCCTGACAGAACAGATCAAATCTCTGTGCCATCTGCTCATGCGTCCCTTCCTTGTGTTAACCCTGCATTCTCTGCGATCGCCAGCAGGGGGCAGCTCCTCTGGTTCTAAAGGATTGATTGCTTGAGTAGACTCTTGTTACTTGATTGATTCCCTTTAGTAAGCATTTTGAACATGAGTTTATGGTCTCTGTCTTCTTCAATACAGCATGGGATTGATTTACATTTATTTGTGATTGTGCCCTTTTGAGAAAAATGAACCTGTGACCTTTTATCATCAGCAGAGACGGAACAAAAGAGAGAATCGGAGGTGCCATGTTTGTGATATGTTGAGAAGGCAGCTCTGCGTTCAGATGGCGTGTCTGTGTGTACGTACCGGGCAGCCTGCCTCCAGACAGTGAGGCAGCCTGCAACGTCACAGCCGGCCTCGTATTGATCCCCCAGCCGCTCTTCTGCTTTCCACTCTATCGTGCTCCATTGATGTGTCCTCAAATTAGTCACACAGAGTGCACGCAGATATTTCTGCTTCGGGCTTCCTGAAAAACTGCATGCAATTAACAGTCACGTTTTCCAACTTTAGCACGCTTATATTCTATTGGTGCTTACAGGCGTCTATTTCTGTCACTGCCGTAGCTGCCCTGCTCATCGCTCCCTTCTTGGGGATTGTCGTGCTGCCCAGGTCAAAGGAGTCAACCAAGGCTGACCTCCAGCAACGCAGACAGGAAGGGAGGTTTCACTAATGTTGCACGTATGAGCAGGCTATAGGGACAGAAATAAAGGTATGCGAGGGTCGACGGATCCGGGGTGGCACAGCCAATGATTCCTGTGTTGAATAGGTTCAGACAGAGAAGCTCAGAGGGGTTTAATTGCCGTCTTCTTATTTGGGTTGTGCGTGGTCAAATGGGGACAGACACAAAGCTGCAGAAGCTCAAAGAGAGTTGTTGTTGTGTTTGGAGATGTCTTGCGCTCCATTGCTCAAACACCATACTATCCCTGGACATTCGTATAAACCTGAAATACCAACAGAGAGTGAATGTCGACGCTCACGGATTAAAGTCTAGTAATTGGTCTTCCTTTGATACTTGCGTATTTTCTGTAGTTTCCATCCTTTCGTTTAACTCTCTAAATTGTGTAGTGTTGAGGCTAGGCTAGAAGTGCTGGAACACCCTGGAGTTGTTGCCATCTCGCGTCGGGCTTGAGGACACTACAGCAGGAGGGATCGTTACTCGTCTGCACAGGAACACAGATCCTCCAGTTGAGTGCCACTCGAGTCTATAGGTCTGTTTTTATGAGAAACCTCTATAACCAGAAAGTGGTGCCGCCGGTACGACATCATCTGCCGTGTTTTTGCAATATAGAGTCTGTGTGGTGAGTCTGAAATGCTTTACGACCTACAGCCAAATTCATCCTTTGTGGATTAAAACCAGCTGCTGCAGCTTTATCCGCACCGTCAACATAGCTGCTTTGAGTTGTTCCAACTTTTCTATGAAACGATTGTAATCACAAATTGTTTGAGCTTTGCGATGATTTAAAAGCGTGCCAGTTATTTTGAGTGGAGGAGAGATAATGAGCTAGATGGGAGGACTTTTACCGCCGAATGTTCTCCAGGCTGACACATCATCTGCTGAAGGACAGGCTCACCTTTTTAGGAGTTAGAAGAGATTCTACCAAAAGTTTTCCCGATAAATCAAAGAACGCCTACATGCATAAGGCGCTCAGTTCTTTTGGATATGTGGGGTTGAAAATCAAATCTGCCTTGTTTGCGATTTGCCTGAGGAAGTAAACCTCTCTCATGATGATCACACAAGGCCTCACGTAGAAGTTCCCACAGCTTGTATCCCGCTACAGAAACATACAGAATGAATATGGTGACATATTCTAAATACACAAGAGTCCTTCTGGATTCCAATGATTCTGGCTGTGTTTGGAGATACTTGGCGAAAGTCTGACTTTTCCTCGCATGGGGTTGGATCCCTTTGCAAACAACGGGGGTCGAGCTCGGGGGGGAGGGGTGGGGGACCCGGCTCGGCTGCGAGCGTCACCGCTGACGAAGCAGCAGCAGACGCATTGGTCGCTCCTCCGCTCAGCCGCGCCCCTCTGCAGAGGCGGGGGGGGGGTCTCCCGCTGGGCTTGGTGTCTGTATAAAGCTGGACAAGCATTGTCATGTGGTAAACACTTTGTACGCGCTCACGTAGAAAGGAGGAGGAACTCTGTACTCCCGGCGCATCGAAACCCAACTCCCCGGCGCCAGCGGACACCTGTCGCGGTCTGAAATGGCTGCCTTCGTGTCGGTGAGTTTTCCGTCCCATCAGCATTCTGGACTTTCGCCGGCTGGGCCGCGCAGGCCGTCGCTGCACTTGCACTCGTCGCTCAGATGATGTGATTGTCTGCCAATTGTTTGTTTGGAGCGGACAGCAATTGAAAAAGAGCACGGTTCAAACTTTCGGGTGCAAAGAGCACGACATCAGCGCGTGAAGCGGCAGCTGCGTCTCGTCACTCTCAGTTGTCTAATAAAAGGGTTTTGTGTAATCTTTGTCGGAGAAGTTGCTTGAAATTCATCATGTAAGGTGCTGCGACGTGTAAACTCAACTGACAGAAGTAAAAAAAAAACTGTTCATAGAGATGAACAGTTATACCACTCGAGACACGACTGGGTAAAAACTGCATGGCAACAGCCCCACCTCGCCCCCTCATAGGCTCAGTCCATGTTTCCCACTGTTATTTTCATATCCGTATAAACATTGGTCCTTCCAAACGTTCCCTTCAATGTGAGGAGCCTCAGCTGCTGAGTGAATCCTCTGCTCTGAGTGAATTGGCCTCCTGGACTCCATTGTGATCTATTCCTCAGCTACAGATGTGTCTGGCATCTGCGAGGCTGCCCGGTGTCCCACAGGGCATCTGAGCACTTCTCGTTGCAGCCCCCCCTCGTACCGCCGCAACTGCTGCTCGTCCCGCTCCGCGCGTCCCTCGAGTCCCAGCAAACTCCGCTGTGTCCCCCAAGAAAGTCAGACAGCTCCGGCTTTGCTGGCTTTTTAAGGACCTTTATGAAAACCTCTCAGATTTGTCTGTCTTTTTTCTTTTTTTTTGTTGCTAAATATTCCTTCACCTCAAAACCCCGTTATGTATGAGAGGAATATAGATGCGAGGTCAATGACTGTGTCCTGTTCCTCTGCTCATCCCAGATGGCCACCTGCCACACTTGCAGTAAGACATCCAGACACAAAGGGATGAACAGGGACTTCATAGCTACCCTCGCTAAGACCCCCACCGGCACACCGGGGAGCGCTGCCAAACACAAGACCCCACAGTCCAGCCACAGGGCCAACATGACCACCCCGAAGAACGCCGGCAGAGACCGGACCCCCGCTCATACTCCTAGGTAAGTTTTTTAACGTTGTATTAACGTCCCCGGAGCTAAGCTTCAACATGCAGCGACCATCAACTAAACTTGGAAGGTGTGACGGACATCCGAGAGGATGATGGATTGGGCTCCCCAGATTGTATATTTGTTGACAGCACATTTCCTTATTTAAACTTTTCATCCCGCCCCCTTTTCTCTCTCTCTCTCTCTCTCTCTCTCTCTCTGTCCCCCCCCCCCCCCTCCCTTCTCCCCAGGTCCTCCTCCTCCTTTAACACTTCAGGGTCCGGCTCATCTTCCTCTAAGACTCCCATCAAACCTAAAAACTGGCTCGTCCAGAGTCTCGGCAAGATACTAATGCGAGAGGGCCGCCAGAGTAGCAAGAAGGTGGGCTTGAAAGATTTTCTCTCCTCACTTTGAGCATCCTCCTTGTCTTTATGTAAACTCTTAAAAACAAGGGTATAGGCCCACATTTGTAACCCGTTAACACCATAGGCTACGGGGGGGGGGACTTTGGTTTGCGAGCCGGTGGGTGAAGGGTTACAGCTTGCCCACCAACACAGCTATTGCTGGGCTGTTTGGAATGGCACTCCTGGTATCCTGAACGCATCCGCTGGGAGCACTGGCTGGCTATTTCAGCTGTTAATCAGGGTCACTGCATCTTCCCCTGAGCCCGTTGGAGGTAAATGCTTGGTCTAATTTAGCACATGCCTCTTTTAATCTCCTAAACTGGGGATGTTATTTTTATTTTAGGGTTGAGAAATAATTCAGTATTTCTCAATGGCTGAAACATCGCAGCAAACCCAACTGTGAAACATAAAAAGCTGGTTTACATGCCAATATACTTTTGCTTACTTGTGCATTTAAGATTTTTTTTTTATTCATTTCATACGGATACTTAAACGTTTTTTGTATTCATATTACTTGGTGTCAAAAACTTTTTTTTTAATATCACTATTTCTGTCTCTCGCCTGCTGGGAGATGTCTGTGTAAATTAATTTGGTATGAAGTTGGAATTACATCAAATTGACAAAGGTTTAAATTGCCATTGCATTTTTTCACATGAATGCATATTTTTTTTGAAACTGTGCATGGTGACCTGTGGAGATATTTGTAATTAATCTAAAATGAGACTCACCAGTTGCGGTTTACATTGAATGGGCATATCTGCCTAAAACCAGTACAGAAAGTACTCACTGACATTCAATATGTTCAACGCTGCGGACTGTTTAAATATTTTATTTGCTATATGCTTTTGAAAGGTTAATATTGTTTGTTTAAAGCAAGCTTTTTGAATATATTGACTATGTTTCGTACTTCCTGATCACTTACCAGTTTTCATTAGCGGTTCTATGATCAGTATGTTTGAATTGAGAAATAACTCACTTTTGTATTCCTCCAACACTGTGATTCTCTAAAATAAAAACCTTTCAGTCTGCTAAACTGTGCCGTTCATCTTAATCTCTGATGAGTGCTTGAAAATGTTTTTGCTGCATCTTCAATCTTGCAGATTGTACGTCTGTGTGCAAATGTAGATCTAAAATATGTCATTTATCCAGCTGCATTGTTTACACTTGAGTTAAGACTTGACACATACAGAAAACTGTTCTGCCAAAAATGAGAAATGCAATCAATACAAAGTCAAATTGAATAGAACATGTGTTACGTATAAAATAAATTAAACAAAAAATGACATCAAATATCAAATTTTATTGAGGGTAAATTAATCTAAGATTTTCGGTTAGTAAAATATAAGCATTATGCTTGTGCCTATACCTCTTCAGTCACAATGTATATTAGTTTGTGTATATATGCTTCACGCATTGTATGTAATGACTGAATTACTACCTACTACTACAGATAATCAATGGAGAGATTGAAGAAATCCTCAGATTACATTACAATGTAGGTCATTTAGCTGACGCTTTTATCCAAAGCGACTTACATTACACTTTAAACCCATGGCTTTTTACATTTTTGCCCAGGGAGCAATTAGGGGTTAGGTGTCTTGCTCAGGGACACTTCGACTTGAGACATGGGACACAAACATACTGCTGTTAAAGCTATGGAGAATGGCCTATTTCTAAATAATTGATGATTATTCGTATCAAAGTACACTATAATATATTTTCCAATTATATGTGGTATTATTTAGAATCTGCAAAAATACCTCAAGTTACCAAATATCATGAACCCAAAAGTAACTTAATTCTATATTCACTGCTCGAGCAGAGCGACCTCTCACCACAGCACGGATGAAAACACCTGAATAGCTTATTGTGAATATACGGTAACAGCAGAATAAGCGTGTGTGTGGTTGTGGGCGCTCGATGCATTTTGTAACGCGAACATTCAGCAGATGGGTCCACCGGCGCCTCGCGCATTACCGACGGCGCCCTGCGGGTGGCGCTGGACTTTAACCGCTGCACAGGAAGTCCAGCACCACTGAAGAGGGTCCGCTAGCTAGCTAGCTAGCCGCTGGTTAGCACCTGGGCCGACGCTCGAACAAAATAAACCCCGAGTTTTTTGGTACGCCTTCTCTGAGTGAATGATTCTCCGGTCGTCGGTAGCGGGACGATGTCGGACCGAAAGCGAAGACGAGAGAAGGACGAGCGAAGAGAACACAAGAAGCACAAGTCCTCCAAACAGGATTTGGAGAAACTCAAAACACACACGAAGAAACTCAACCAAGAAGTCCAGCAGCTGAAACACGTTGAGACGTTGTGAGTAACGTTACTGCCACGTTATGAATTATTGATTCATCTACTAACTTTACACACGCTAGTAATTCACTTTAATTCAGTTCGCTTTTACTTAAGTTATCTTGTTTGTTTGTTTTTGCGTGAACGGCTTAATAACTGCTGCGGTCACGTGATAAATTAACGCGAGTATCATCTGTCCTGTTGTCTGTGCAGCTATGAGAAACCTCCACCGGGGCTCATCAAGGTAACGTGACACATGGTGCACGCCGAGCAGGTTGACTCACGCACGCACGCACGCACATACAGAGAAAAGTCATGCTCAGACGTGGCTGTTGCAGGAGCACGAGGACAAGCCGGAGGACTGTATCCCCGCGGAACCCGGAAATGAAGCAGCCAGGACCTTCCTGGCTAAGGCCCCCACCCGCGGGCTGTGGATGCCTCTGGGGAAGGAGGTGAAGGTGATGCAGTGTGAGTACACCGCCGCAGATGATGGGACGGGACAAACGCATCTGCAGAAGTATATTTATTGGCACCGGCATAGTAAAATCAACAGGAATTTGGAGGTTTATCGTCATGTATGTACTAAACATGCTTTCCTCAAAGCCACCAGACTCCTTTTTTTGACTTTCCACTGTGCACAAACCACCAAACTCTGCTTTGACAGTTTGAACAAGGAACAATTTCCCTGTTTTCCCCCGGTTTGTGACATTGAATGTGACTCCCCAGAAAAGTACAGAAAGACTTGAATGGGGAAAGTAAGTCCATCACCTATTTTTAGCCTGTTTTTTTCCAATGTTTACATAACCCGCAACCATGCTTTAATTCTGCTGGGAAAAGTCTACCACAGATCAAGAAAAAGTTGAGAGGGACTTATGATCAAACGCATGGGCCGAGCATCTTGTAGGTCAAAAGCTCTTGAAAGGTCTCAACTTGATAGATTCCTTTGAGGCACCCTGTGTACAAACAAAGCTAAAGCAGTAACAGTTGCACCCAAAATTCAGCATCTGTAGCTACGGGTAAATGTCCCCAGTGTTTGGGCCGCCCTCTGCATTTGCAGAGGCAAATGTAAAATACTTGTACTTAACACTCAACACCTCCTCTGCTGTTTGTCTGTTGGTAGAGATCGGTGGTGTGGGTGGAGGTTACCTTCTGTCCTTTTTGGTGGGGACGATGACTCCTTATTTTCAATGTCCATTCATTCCTTAGTCCCACTCGTTGCACACATGTTGCCATTTGTTTCTACAGAATCTGAGCATTGCCCGCCCTGCTTAATCCTCTGAGCAAATGTCTGAACACATCGTCCTGTCTTTAACCACACAGGGGCCATCAGAGTGACTGATGGGGACGCGAAAAATGCAAGCAAAGCCGTTTAGGATCAGTCACTTGATGAAGTCTCTTAAGTTGGTCATGACAAGTGTCACCAAAAACTACAAATTTTCACTTGTTAGTGAAGGGACACATGCCGATTTTTACCACAATTATGTACCAGTCACATCAATTCACCCCCCCCAACTGCACATATATTTATACTTTATGTTTGCTTTCCTTTGCCACAGGTTGGAGATGTAAGCGCTACGGCCACAGGACGGGAGACAAGGAGTGTCCCTTCTTCATCAAGGGCAACCAGAAACTGGAGCAGTTCAGAGTGGTGAGTGTGTCAGCGGCTTGGACCCAATGAGCCCAGCCATAGTAATTTAGGGAACGCATCAAAGTCTGTATGCTGGCTTGTGGTAAGTTTGTTGAGCTGTGACAGAGACGTGCGCGAGCGAGCGAGCTGAGTCCAACAATAGTTCTGGGGCATATTTAGTTTATACCGATCAACGTGTGGCCAGCACACTCACTCACTCACAGCCGGTTCCAAAGGAGCGGCGCCTCCCGCAGGAATACACAGCCTCTGCAATGATTACCATAAGTGCAACTCTGTCATATTTTTTTCGTGCTCTGTATTGTCACTGGGACGTTTAAAAAAAAAAAAAAAAAAAATGCTGACGCAACACTAAAATCAGGACGCTGGTTGGAATTTGTTGGGATAATTTGCTGCATCTAGCGTGAATAGCAGCGAGCCTTATTTTTTACCAAGTTCACACCTTCTTCACAGAAGGCCATGACGAGTTGCATTTTGCTCTTTCAGGCTCACGAGGACCCGATGTACGACATCATCCGGGAAAACAAAAGGAACGAAAAGGAAACCAGGTACATCCACGTGCATGTTGTTTGTGTCCTTTTTGTTCTAGCTTCCATGAATAAGAGTGGCGTTTATTTCAAAGGTGAATGGTTGAACTCTCAGTGCCGGTTTGTAGCGGATCATCTTTGACGCTGGGGGGTTTGAATCTGAGGTTTGTTTGCTGTGTGAATGCAGAGCAGCAGCACAAAGTGTGTGTGTCTGTGTGTTTTTTAAACACATTGCAGAGAGGTTATTCAAGGGCCAGTGGCTCCTCCAAGTCTGAGTTGTGCGTCTACTTCTCGTACCCCCCAGGCCTACACGGTACGAGGGTGGATAGCATGCTGCGTGTTATTTCTTCTTTATTTTGGGGGGGGGGGTTAAATCCTTTTGTAAGGCAAACTTTGATCTATCGAATATGCGTGATTGGAAAGTTCCATTTATGTTTGGTTGGACACAACGGCATGGCTGCAAAAGGAAGGATGGAAGACTGAGTTTCTGTTCCTAGAATTGAAGATGTCGTTGTAGCCGAATTTCAGACACTCTCCTAAAAACCCATCTCCCGCCTCTGATGTGCAATCAGACTGGTGCTGCGTCCGAGGGTTCCCGTCTTTCATCTCTGCTGCTCTGAAGGAGCTCGATGGCATAACGTGCCCCAGCCTACTCTTCGATTGCATGTGGGGCCGCTGGTTGTCTTGAGCATTTCTTGATGAAAATGTAGAATATGAGCAAGTTACTTGCATCTGTATTCTTTCGGCACATTTTATGGTTCTGAAGATATTCCCAGTCGAATATATTTCGCTCGGCTACTTAATGATATGCGTATTTTACATAGCTGGTATATTTGTTCATATCTTTCTTTTATATTTCTACTGTTAACATTTGTGAGGTTTGCCGTGTGTGTGTGTGTGTGTGTGTGTTTCAACAAGGCAAATGTGAAAAGTTCTGCTAAGAAAAGTATGTAATGAAGGTCGCCTGGGTGTGTGCACGCGTGTGTGTGCGTGTGTGTGTGTGTGTGTGTGTGTGGTATTCTATATTACCACAAACAGTGATTCGCATATCTGAATTACCTTTTTTTTTAGTCCTGCTCAAGGACGTCCGAGATGCCGACGCTGGCGTCTGAGGCTGCATCGTGCCTTCCCCTTTTACTTGACGCTAATCCTCCTCTTCCTGTCCCTAGGATCCAACAGCTGCAGAAGATGCTTCAAGACACCACTTCCTCCAGCTCGGACAGCTCCTCTTCCTCGTCCGACCACCATCGCGGCAAGAAAAGGAAAAAGCAGAAGGATAAAAAGAAGAAAGACCGGAAGAGGAAAGGGAAACGAAAGCACAAGACCTCCGACTCATCGGACTCCGATTGAGTGTCATGTACTCGTAAACCGATTTAAAGTGTCCTGCAGAGCGACTCTCCGAAGACCCGTTGGGGGCTTTTTCTCTGCTGAGTGAAACTGTACAAACTGAAGGTCCCCCGCTGAGTGTTCTCCAGGACCGTAGAACCACACGGAGCTATGTGCCCCCCCCCCCCCCCCGCTTTAGTACGTTTGTGGCTATCTGTGTCAGGAAGCATTAGCTGCATGCGTAACTAATCTTAAGTGATACAAAACCAGCCCGCTGGTGTGAGAGCCGATGTTCTTTTGCGGCCTCCGATGAGACGGCATGTCATTAAAAGATTGTGTTTTCCACTATTTTTGTATCGCCGCCATCTCTCTGGCATTAAATACTTTGATTGTAGAGTGTGTTAAATGCTGAGAGGTGGAAAGAGAGACAGGAATTAGTAGAGTTATAGTTTGTTTCCCCACACAAGCCTGAATGTTTGAGTGCTTGTGACTGTACATAAATATTTGAAATGATTTGAGGTTGGAATATGCTTATTTGCTTTGAAAAAAATGCAAACCACAGAGCTGGGAAAGAATGTATGTGAATGTGCTCCCTTATTCTGAGAATAAAGATGGCTCTTTCTCCAATGTTTACCCCTCCGAAGGCTGCGCAAACCAAGTTAACAATGTTGGCCTTGACTTAATGTGTACAATTTAATCTTTTGAGGGCGATGCAGTGGAACGCACGCTGCGCCGCGGTGACCTTCCTCTGAGGCCATGCTGTGTGTTTTTTTTCTCTCCCCCTTTTGATCTCGTCCCGCTGTCGATCCGAGGGAACCTCAGAGCGCCTCCTCGACACCCCCGCCCCCCCTCCCGTCCCCCGGCTTTGTGACGGAGACGACTCCCACCACCGGCGCGACGTAGCTGCAACCGCACCAAAAGGGGGCATTGGGCCACATTTCAGGAAGGTCGGTCATGAGCAGCGAGTCCCTCTGGAAATGAAACATTCCCTTTTTCCTAATGAGTCCGATAGGGAGACAATTACAGGGAACTAGCAAACTAGATTTCCATTTAGATTTGTGGCCTAAACTTAAACTACTCAGAGTAGCTTGAATGCTGCAGGGAGGAATTCCGTGGATGTGTAACGTGTTTGTGAGGAATCACAAGCACATCAGCCGGTGACGGCAATCTTTTTACTCAACGATCCAGAGCTCCTCTTTGTTGTTTTTCATCTTCTTTTCGCGGCGGCTTTGTCCATCACGTTTCTGGTGCTTTGACCAACGACGTGAGATCCATCAACCGTGGGTGACTTCTCCCTCTGAGTAGAACAATGAATCTCCCAGATGAGATTCAGTCACAAGCCGCTCAGAGGGAGTCGCGCCGCGTAGAGAGAATTTGGTCAACGGAGAGTCTTTATTGAAGCGCTCCGTCTTCTTGGACGGGGGACAGCTCAGATTGAGGGTCGAGCCAAACTCGATGTGGGGATCGGGTTAGGGGCTCAGACGTGTGCGCAGAGGAGCTTTTTTTTAGTCCTTTGGGACTTGAGCCCTGCACTTAACTCATTAATAATAATCCGGCGTGCCCAACGGGAAAGACGCGGTGACGAGGCGTCGCTCCGCTCACGGTAATGTTCGCTCCAGATGTGCAAAGGTTGTGAAGTGAGAACCCGGCCTTAAAACCACCTCAGTGCGGACTCGGATCAAAGGTCACATCCTCTCAAAGCGCCCTGATGTGTCTCTGAAGCCGAAGTTTCATCTCAATGGTGATCTTGTCTTTGCTGAGGTTGCCTAAACTACATTTTTGGATTTCATTAGACATTGTTTCTGCCCAATTTGAACTTTGTGTTACGCCCTCCGATACTCAGTCGGAATCGGGTCTGTTTACTTTCAAAGTGTCCTTCCCAAGACGATCAGTCAGTTTGTCCTCGGTTGTTTTTGAGACCGGCTTTCACAGCCGATGCCCGTAGTCAAATTAAAATTTTGGGGGGGGGGGGGGGGGGTTGTGCCTCTTGTTCTACACAGAGAAGAGCAAACTGAGACAAGGTAGGCTTCCTGCCTTGGGTTATCTGCGAGGAGGGACGGGGCTCCTGTTTTAATCCCCCTCCTGCTGAGAGGAGACAAGGATGGGCCGCAGGACTTTCTATTAGTGATAAGCACACGCCGCGGGTTTCGTGACAGAAGCCGCGTGTAATCACTGACACAATTAAAGTGAAGTGGCCTCGTGTGGCTCAGTGACACGGTTCCACATCCTGAGCCCTAAAAAGAGAAACCCAATCAAATTACAACCGGATTCTGTGCAGGCCCGACGTTGAGCGGAGCCGAAAGGCTTCCAGACACAATGTACCATTAGAAGGTCATAATCACCCCCCCCCCAAACAGTCCTGTGTGTGTGTGTGGAGTCCAGCGTTCAATAACCATGAATTATTGAAGTCATTGTTCCTGTTTGCCTTTGCCTCCCGGCAGGAAGACTGGAGACAGTCGCTTCTTCCTGTCAGAGAAAAGACACGGCGCCCTCATTTGTTTGTTTGTATTCAGATGGAATTTTTTGTTCACCGTGTACCGTTTAACACCTAAATGTCACGTTATTACCTCTGGCCACCATCACAAAGCTAACATATGTTCTCTAAGCAAATGGAATTACAGAACACATTTTGTTGAGTCACCATGTTGCAATTTGACCTGAACAATTAACACATATTGAAGATACTGTTTCACTCCACTGATGCATTTGGGAACTTTTTTAATTGGTTTTATTTCCCAGGATTTGTTGCTACATCAAATAGATTTAGTCAGACTCCTATTTCATGTTTTATGTAGAACACATGTCCCTGGTTTGGTCCAACGAAGTCAACACAATGTCAAGACGTGTCTTCATTATCAACCAACACGTGCCGCGTGTGACCACGCTGCTTGATCCAAATAAAGACAATCAATAATTGCTAATAACAATAATTCACTTGAAAACAGGGGTTACACAAATAATACACAGATCCGACAAAGTTACAAAACAAGGTTTATACAAACTCGTTTCTAACTTCATGTTGAATGACATCAACACAGCGAACGCGAATCGCGCGTGGGGCTCGCGCGCATTGTGATTTGGCGAGAGAGAGAGAGGGAGGAGAGGGAGAGAGAGGAGGAAGGGGGGAGAAACATCAGCGCTATCTCTGCGCACCCGGCAGAGAGGGAGGAAGCGCCAGCGGGAGGGATACGCGCACGCGCCTCGGCGACACTCGCGCGCACTCCGGACACGGTGGTGGAAGAAAGAAGCGTCCTCGCCTCGTCAGGTTGGTCCGCCCGCGTTCATTCATCTCGCACCGACGTCTCGGGGTCCGGCGCGTGCTTTTAGCTCCACTTCGCCGCGCGTCCTGCGCTGAACGTTGCGGACTCGCGATGTCTTTTTTTTGGGGGGGTGGGGGGGTATTTTTATTATTCTCTTTCTCGCTGCGCTTTGCCCCAGCGAGACGACACCGCGCTCCATGTCGCCTGTTTGTCTCCTGTCTCTGTCCATGTGTCTCTCTCCCCCCCCGGCCTCGTCTTTCACTTTTGTCAAGTGGCCTTTAGCGGCTTCTGGGGCGCTGCTGTTGTTTTTATTGACATGTCTGATTTAAAGCGTCGCTGCAGCTCCGCGCGGACGCACGCGCACACGCGCACTGCCGCTCACATCGTCCACCGCGCTTCGCTTTTACTTCTGGGTTGTTAAAAACAACAACTGCGAGTTGTGCCGCTGCCCCCCTGGCTTGTTGTTTTGGTGCCCGCTGTACACTTGATGTAAAAAAAAAAAGAAAAATGTGTTGCCCCTCCTAGATGCCCCCCCCCCCCCCCCCCCCCAACATTCACGTGCGTGGGGGCCAGTGTTAACCAAACTTTTGTGGCTTGCAACCCCTTGAATCAAAGCAATGACCCTCGGGCACATGTGTTTGGGTTGCAGTTTGTTTCACTGTGTTTTTGCTTTGTTGCCCCCCCCCCTTCCTAAAAAAAGCTTGGCCCCCCGAGCTGCTCGCTTCTTAGACATTTAATTTCTAGCCCAACACTGTGATCAGGAATTTTTAATGGGAACAACATCATCATCGTAGCTACGGGGTACGGGGTACTCCATGTGGAGCAGCTCAACTCATTCGTAAGAGAAGATGATTTGAAAGAAAAGCGTCCAGGGTGCCGTGTTTTGGAGGAAGAGATTAACATATTGATGCAATGTTGAATTTTAGTCAATGTATTGCAGCGGTAACCGCTATGAAACCCCCGGTTGAGTCTGTTTATGCTCAAATTGGTCAGCACAAGAGTCCAAATGCATATCGAAAAGCGATTAAGATCGCTTCAGATGGTTGATAAACATAAACATCAATCATTTAAAGATGACTGTGCCATGCATTGATTCACCTGTGCAGCCTCCAATCTGTGTGTTTTTTTTTTGCTTGAGCAATTTCATTAAGCCGCTCCGCCCGCCGATCACAGGCGTAATATTTCACCTTTTCATCCAGCAGAGAGACCTACATGTCCATAGGAATGCACGCACATGCAGAAACAAGTTTCACTACCCACTGCAAACCTCCATTTCTTGTTTTACTGGCTTTCCCCCCCAAAAGCGTTGCAACACAGGAGCAAATTACGGAGTTGGGCCGTAAGTGAAAAGCCAAAGAAACTGATGGGACTAAACGTCAGTGTTTAGTTTAAAATAGTGAAAACCAATTTTGAGGAAAGGGGCAGTTGAAAACACTTTTTTCCGTCCGTCTCTTATTGAGTTGCATCGCAGTCGCAATCCTGATTGGATCTGTTTGACTCTTCCTACCGTTTGGCATCCTCTCACCTCGTCTCCTCTTGCCTGTCAGACCTCCCTCCCTCCCTCCTTGTTATCTCTCTCTCATTAGCTCACTCCCTCACACTTGCTTTCTAACACGTTGCATCGCACTGTTTCTCTCAATTTTTAGCATCTCCCGCTCCACATCTCTCTGCTCAGCCTCCCGTTCACTCGCTCATCTACTTCCCTGTTCCCCAAGGGAAACGGAGGTATGTAAATTGTTTTTCTCCTCCTCGTACGCGAGGGCCTGCTATCCGTCCATCTTAATGAACTCATTTTCCCTCATCATTTTTTTTTTTTCCCCACAAAAAAGCTGAGCATCGCAAAAGAAATTTGCAAAAGAAACCAGGGCCCAAAGTCATCTCTCTCTTCTTCTTGTGCCACTGCTTCAAGGTCCCCCCCCACCCCCACCAACGACTTTTGCATTTGAGGTACCGGCGTTCGCTGCTAGCGGTACAAAGTGGTGCGCCGGTCCGTCGGCAGCTCGAGGTTGGATCCATTCGCTGTTCCAAAAGAGACGAATGTGGCCTCGCTTAATTGTTCCCCGCGGTACGACGCTAATTAAAACGGCAGGCAGGTGCTCGAGGTGCCAGACAGATGAGCATAGGTGAGCGAGAGGTAGAGAGAACTCGTAGGCGCTCCTGCCATGTTCTGCCCCTCGGCTTGCCGGCCGTCGCCTCGGGCTGAATTCAAAGCCAAGCAACTGTGAAATAAATAAAATGCCATAAATAAGCGAAATGGATGGAGGAACGCGTGCGCGTGATGGTGCAGCAGCAACGCGGTCATGAGTGTCTCTCTCAACCCTCCACCCTGTCCTATAAATGGCCCAGAGTCCAAACACTCGCATGAATCAGTTTGAGTGGGGTTTTTTTTTGTTTGTTTGTCCAAGTCTAGACTTTATGTGGAGTGAAGCGGCCCTGAATGACCCAGAAACGGATGCGCCACTCGCCCTGCCCGCCGCATTCCAGCTGTGGCTCCGCCGCAGACCTCTGTGAATGTTGAGCGAGAGGTTAGACGGCTCTCCTGCTAAACCTTTTTTTTTTAAATGTTATTTTTGCATTTGGTACTAAACCAGGAGGACGAGCGGATTGGCGGCCTCTGAGTGTTGTGTATTGTTGTTTAAGTTGTGTGTGTGTGGGGGGGGGAGGCGTTACCACAGCGTATGCAGCTGCTGTAGGAGGATGGGGCGAATGTGTCAGCGGCGGCACACGATTCATGCCGCGTTTGCACCTGAGCTGCAGAGATCTCCCGGTAACGGGTCAGTTTAACGCAGGTGCTCTGCGGCCTAATTCTTGCCTCTGCCATGTGGGTGGTGTGTGTCCTTATGGGTCGTGATCTCTGTTTATGTCATGTGTTCCATCTGTGCACCGATGCGTGATTCCTTCCTTCCAACACATCCGTTTGTTTTTCTATTCTCTTTCTTTCCTCTTTTGACGTTGTTGAGGTGTTCTGTCAATGTGCACCTGTCTTCGGGGCGTCGGAGTCAATCGAGGTGCCCGAGTTTTGCACACCGCTCAAAGAGCGCACTTGACTTCAGGTATCTGCGTTGGTTGGTGGACGTTTTTGTCCCCGCTGGTGATGAGTTGAAAGTGTGTATTCAATTCGCTACAGTGCAGCGGGGTTATTAATACGTTTTCACACCGTGTTCTGCGAGGAAAGTTTATGAACTGTTAGCTTACGGTTCAGCTCACACTGACTTATAATGTGCACCAGATTGTAAGGGCGGAGGGGAGGTGTCGTGTCCCCTGCAGCCTTTCATGTTGTGCTTTTATAACGCTCGCAGTGAAGAGAAATCGAATCCAGCCGAACCTTTTTGAGTTTATAGGCAGCGGAATAAGAGGCTGAAATAACCAAAGTAGGTTGTTCTGTTCGCTGCTGCAAACTCATTAATGGGAACTCAAGCAATGTTACACGCACCAACGTCTGTTGGTGTGTCTGCAGGACACTCCTGCGGATGTGAAATGAAGTTGAATGAAGCGTTGCATTGCTCCATAGTGAGCGGAGCAAAGTCTGAAAGCTCTGAGGGCCGGTTGGTTGGGCTTGAACACTATTCTGTCTACATAGATAATTATATGCAATATGTTACGATATCGGCTGTTATCTTTTCCTGATTTATAATTTTTTTTATTCTGCAGTACAATTAATTGATATCCTTTTCTGAACTTAACAGACTGTTCCAGCTGTTTGGCACCAGCCACTTAATCGTTACAGCCACATCACTCGTCGTAATTCATCACAAAAGGGTCATTGTGTAAATCTTAGTAAAATCGGCACCGGGTCCACCCTGCAATTTGTCACAATAATCCATTTTGACATATTTTGGTACAAAAATCTTGCGGTATTAGATTTCCTTTTGTATTGCCCACACGGTGTGTATAATGATAAAGAGGGTGGTGTGTGTGTGTGTGTGTGTGTGTGTGTGTGTGTGTGTGTGTGTGTGTGTGTGTGTGTGTGTGTGTGTGTGTGTGCGCACATGTTGGAGCTGGACCCAATCAGAGGTTAGCTGCATCTCACAGGTGCACACGCAAAGCATGATCTCGTCCACGGCGCCGTCCCGTGATGAGAGTGGACAGCCCACACCGATGACTGCAGGGTCCCTGAGAGGGACCAGGAATAAAACCGGCCTGTTGTTTTTGTGGTTGTTTGGGGTGTGGGGGGGGCGCGCCTCACCTTTTCTAAGAAATCTACAGACTAAGTTGTTTTATTTTCCTTTCCCGTATCTCCTTTTCTCTCTCTGTCTTTACGGAGTCAGTCCAAGTAATGATTATGGAGTTTCAATTTGCACAGATTTCTGTATTTTGCTCGAAAATGGACTCTGTTAAGACTTTATTTATTCTGGGGACTAAAAGTAAAGCTAAAACACAACAAAGACAAATATGCAGCTGTGTGTGTGTGTGTTCGATAATGTTGAGTGTTGTCAGCTTCTCTCCACTAACTGCAGCTAGCCGGTTCCTTTTTTTTAATGGACGTCCCGCGAGCAGGACTCGGGGGCAGCCTGAAGGGGCGGGGTGCAACAACGTATTTAAACGCACTGCATAATTAATGTTTAGGCTGAGATTAAGGGGAGAAACATCAGCGCTATCTCTGCGCACCCGGCAGAGAGGGAGGGAGCGATACGAGTTGTACCGATTGCGTTTGACGTGGCGCAGCGGCGACTTCCCAGGGATGCTATGGAGGAGGAGCGGAGGGCCTCTCGTAAACGCGCCGAGGTCACCAGCTCGCGCTCTCGGGCCGGGGAGCTGCGGGCCTTGGATTGAAGGTGTGTTGCTTTGCGTGGGGGCTGCCGCTGAGTCACGGAATAAATCACAACACAGGAGGACATTCGGGAAAGTAGACACTTTTGATATCTCTCTCTCTCTCTCACGTCAAGTCTCCCTCGCACAACTCTACTAGCTGATGCGCCCTTCTTTCATTCATCCCCTTTCGTCCGGCGTTCTCATCCTGCTGTCACTTTCCCAGCCTCCTCTCCATCTCTCACGCCGCCTTTCA